TCTTTCTTTCTTTCTTTCTTTCTTTCTTTCTTTCTTTCTTTCTTTCTCTACCATGAATATTTTGAGATATATGAGACCTTTATTTCTTTATGACTATAATTTCCCAATTGCCCTGTGGATGGCCTGGCAAAGGAGGATTCCAGGAGCAATGGGCCAAAAAATAGTTCCAGGCTTTGTGCCTTAGGATGGGTCAGGAGGGGGCAGAAGGGAGCATATCCATCGGTGTTTGCTGTCTGACTCACAGACTAATGGGTAGGTACTAATAGAGGGCACCGAGGTCAAATTTCTTATATTTTCCTTCTTTTACTGTTATGGGCTAAATAATAATAATAATAATGGCTAACATTTATACAGGGCTTTCTCTGTGCCAGGCACTGTCGTTATTATTATTATCTTATTGGATTTTCACAACAACACTAGGAGGTACGTGCTAGTAAATTATTCCCATTTTTCAGTTGAGGAAACTGAAACAGAAGTTAAGTGACTCGGCCAGGAATGACCTTTGTATAATTTTATAATTCTTCATGGCTTTGTCACTGGACTGGAATCAGCCTTCTCTCTGTAGGAAACGAGGCCTAGGCCATGACTTTTAGAATGGTTGAGAAAGATGCAGCCAGTAAGTTTCTGAGGTTGGATTTGAACTCAGGTCTTCCTGACTCCCCGCCCAGCACTCTATCCGCTGTACCACCCAGCTGCCCCAGTTTCCTGTAGATGGTAGCTGACCCTATGCCCTATAGAATGGAAATCTATCCATAGATTGGAGATGAATGGAGCATCCTAAAGCGGGGGAGGAGTTGAAGTCAAGCCTCTGTTGAGCTAACCTCACCCCAGGAACCTGTAGCAGGAGTAAACCCTATACCCAGTTAGATACCAGCTGAACCAGACTCCTACAGGTGGTGACTAAAACTCTTAATCAGGCTCAGATCCTCCTAAACAAGGGCTGACTCCTAGAGATAGGAACTGCCTCTCAACTCCTAGAAATGAGAATTTGCTCTCTTTAGCTGACAGAGGGTACCAAGAAGTGGGGACGGGAGGGAGAGAGGTTGCCTAGTCAAAGAGAAGCGAAATGCTACAACCACAGCCTCAGTTTCCCATTTGCCCTCTGGTCCCTAGAGCCACGTCAAACCCACATTCTCCCACCATCACCCTCACTCAGCTGCTCAGGAACACACCAGACTGACAAGGCCGGTCATTTAAATGGCTCTTGGTGAAAATCTAAAGGCCAAGCAGGTTGGAGATAGAAAATTGTACAGTGAGGGCTTGACTTCCTGTCAGTCAGAGCCCAAATGCTCCCGTGATATGCCTGCTGAGAATTACCCCCCTCCTTCACCCAATTGAGAAAATCAATCTCCACCGACTCTGATCTCAGCCCCTCATGGACCCATGTGGAGGCCCCCTCCCCCACTTAGCTCACCTTGTTTTTCTGGGGTCCTGGTTTCTGCTCCTCCAGCTTGATGCCCTGAAATGACAAAGAAAACATAGAAACCATCACCAACTTTGTTATTGATGGCTAACCTGGATATATGCTTTGCATGACTTCACATGTATGATTGACAGCATATTGCTTGGGACTGAAGGGGCAGAGAGAATTGGGAATCCATCCATCATTTTTTAAAAAATGAATGTTAAAATAAATAAAGCATAAATAATTTTGTTTAAAAAAAGTTTTGTTATTGAAAGCGATAGAGGAGGCGGATCAAAGCTGGCACTCTGGAGCTGAATCTTTGTTTAAGGACCCAAACTGAGCGTCACAGCCATTTAATCAATTTAAACCAATTAATTCAGCCCAACTAGGCCCCGCACTGTGCTAGAGGACAAAGGCTGTGTGGCTGGGAGTCAGGACAGCTAGATTAGAATTCTAGCTGTCACTGGCTAGTTGTACGCATGACCTTGGGCAAACCACGGGATCTTAGATTTAGAGACAGAGGACTCTTAGAGGTCATCTGCCCCCCTTTTTGGGAGAGAATGAAGCCGAGGTTCAGAGGTTTGCAATGACTTGTCCAAGGTCACACAGTTAATAAATGGCAATCAGGATTTGAACTTTGGTCCTCTGGCTACAAACCCAGTACATTTCCCACTGAGCATTTATTGCCTCCCCTGTAATAGGGATAAATACCTCTTCCCCGTCTATCTCCTAGGGCTGATGGAGGACTCAAGTGAGTTAATAGGCACGAAACCACTTTGAAAATCATATGTCTTTCTGCAGATGGAGGGAATTATTTTTCCTGGGCATCTCTGCTTGGGTTGTTATCAGATTTTCTGCCTATTAAAAAGAATGAAGCTCTGCCTGCCCGCCCAGCTAGCTCAGTGAATCACGAATCTGAGCTCTCTGATGATTATTGGGAGCAGTAATGAGGGCCAGTGGAAAGGCCCTCAGATCTCTCTGAGATCTGTGACTGACTAGCTGTGTGGCTGAGCAAGTCTCCTCCTCTGTGAAATCTGGGGGCTCATGGCATGGGAGTGGAAGGCGCCCCAGGGCTCACAGACCTGGAGCTGGGAAGGGACTACAGAAGCCATCTCAGCCAGTCGCTTTCCTTTACAGATGAAGAAACTGAGGTTCAGAGATAATTTATATAGAACTTTATGGTTTACAAAGTGCTTTATATACCTTGTGACAGTTGAACTTCACTACAACCCTGGGAGGACTTATTATTATCCCCATTTACAGATGAGGCGACTGAGGCTCAGGGATACTGACTCGCCCAAGGCCAGACAGGTAGCAAGGGGCAGAGCTAGTATTTGAAACCGGCTCTTCTGACTCTATAGCCAGCCTCTGTTTCATGTTATCGCACCGCATCTGGATCTGAGTTCAAATCTCCCTTCTTGCTAAATTACTACCTGTGTGATTATGGGCAAGTGAATCAATCAATAAACGTTTATTAAGTTCCTACTATGTGCCAGTCACTGTGCCAATCACTAGGATTAAAAAGAGAGGCAAACGACAGTCCCTGCCCTCAAGGAGCTTGTAATCTAATAGAAGTCCCTACCATTCTCTGGGCCTAGGCTTCCACCGCTATAAAGCAAGAGGGTTGGACTCAGTGATTTTTTTTTCTTTTCTTTTCCTTTTTTTAGGCAATTGGGGTTAAGTGACTTGCCCAGGGTCACACAGCTGGTAAGTGTCAAGTGTTTGGTCTGAGGCCGGATTTGAACTCAGGTCCTCCTGACTTCAGGGCCGGTGCTCCATCCACTATGCCACTTAGCTGCCCCTGGACTCAGTGATTTCCAAGGCCCCTTCCAGTTCTCAAGCCCAAGAGAATGAAATATTCCAAACCAATTCTATATTGGCCTGGACATGCAGAGAGTGGTGGGAAGCAGTGTTCTCTGTAACTGGAACTTTTCCAACCAGGGCTCCCTCCCTCACCCCAACTCACCCTGACCTCCTGTAGCAATGAGAAAGGAGAGTTAGGAAGCAGCCAGAGCCTTCTATGGGAATTCTCCAGGGAGATACCTGCTCTCTGCTCTGCAGAGTCATGGTAGGACCAGGGCAGGGGGAGGTATGAGTAACCAGGCAAGCGCTAAGTGGGGTCTGCATCAGGTCTGATACCAGGAACAGGGCTGAACCAAGGTTGGCTCAGTTCCCCAACTCTACCTCCTTGCCCCCACCCAGGGGTAACAGATAAGGCTCTATAATCAGAATTAAGGAGACTTGGATTCAAATCCTGCCTCATACACTGGCTGGGTGAATCTGGACAAGCCCCTTAATTTCTGTGTGACTCATTTTCCCCATCTGCAAAATGCGGGGGTTGTGCTTGATGGCCTCCAAGGTCCCTTTCAGTTCTAAATCTAGGCTCCTTTGTTCCTAGAGCTCCATGCTAATCATTAAGTGGAAATGTGGCCACTTTTTAGTTCCTGTAAGATCCCAATTTCCTGGAATGCTTGGGGATTAAGTGGCTTTGGTTAGTTGGATTTCTTAATTAGGCAGATTAGTAATCAGCTGCCCTTCTTGTTTTAGCCCTCACTGGAAAGGTTCCTAAAATGAATCAGTCTGTTCTCTGGGTCCCTGAGTACCTCCCCGTGTCCCCAAATCTTTCTCTGATGAGGAAGGATCATGATGGCCCTTGAGACTCTCATTAAAACTACCACCAATCACCACAGGGGACTAACCCTGGAGCTGGAGAAGGTCTTCTGCTGTTCAGTCTTTTCAGTCGTGTCTGACTCTTGGTGACCCATTTGGGATTTTCTTGGCAAAGATTGTGGAGCGATTTGCCATTTCCTTCCCCAGACATTTTACAGATGAGGAAACTGAGGCAAACAGGGTTAAGTGACTTGCCCAGGGTCACACAGCTTTAAGTGTCTGAGGTTGTATTTAAACTCATGAAGATCAGTCTTCCTAATTCCAAGCCCAGCGCTCTATCCACTGTGCCACCTCACTGACCCAGAAAAGGTCTAGACTTTTAAAAATTACTCTGAGTCTTTTCTCCCTGTAACTCTATGTTGGATATCAATGAGGGTGACCAAAATTAGGAGTGTGTTTATTTCTAAAACTAGACATAATTGGACGATACTCAGCATCCCTGGGTCTTCGCAGACCATAATGCCCTTCCCTAAAAACCACTCCCCCATGTGTGTCTCACCCTAGGAGAATGTAAACTCCTTGAGGGCAGGAATGGTCTTGCATTTGTATCAGAATCCTCAGTACCTAGTACAGTGCTGGTATGGGGTATTCCTTTAATAGACGTTCTTCTGTCCATTAGTGTGTTTATTCATCTGCCATCACAAAGAACAAACAAAACTTTAACCTTTGGGTGGTGGGTGTGGCACGTTCCCAAGGGAGGTTCACTCCTTCTCTCCCTGCCAGCCTGGGCTCCTGGAAGTACAGGGAGGAAGCAATCTCTTCCAATGCCAAACTAACTGCTCATCCCTCTGTGATTGTCTCCCTGCATCAACCTTCCCTCCTGTATTGTAGTGGCTCATGTAGATGCCTCCTACGAGATTGAGGTCCCTGAGGCCAGAGGGGTGTCTTACTCTTCTCTGAACCTCCCTCCCAACACCTCCATATCTGAGATGCTCAATGAGCGTTTCCAGAATGAGGGACAATAGCTAATTGCCCAATGGTGCCAGGCAACTCTGTGGTTGAGTTTCCATTCATTGAGGTTCACAGGTAGTTCTACAGGTGTGTGTGTGTGTGCGTGCGTGCGTGTGTGTGTGTGTGTGTGTGTGTGTGTGTGTGTAGGGTGAGGGCTGGGGAGTAACTAGAGGGAGGGAGGATCATAGGATCATAGATTGAGAGCTGAAAGGGCTTCTAGGTCAGTCCCCTCATTTTACAGCTGAGGAAACTGAGGCACAGAGAAAAAAGTGCCTCTATCACTATAGTCACTTTACCAAGCTGAGTGGCCTCACATAAGGCAATTGGAAGACTACCTCTTCCTCTGATATTGGCCAAGAGTGTGTGGGAGAGCCCCTCCTCCCCAACAGGTGCTTCTTACAGTCTGAAGAGGCTCTCCAGCCCAGCGTAGGCCTGCTTGGGGGTGGAGTTAGAACCAGAGCCCCTGTCCCAGGCAGATAAAGACATGACCTGAGTCAGGAGTTGGTCCCCCTGGCCTTGTGTTAGTCATAACTCCTTGGACCTTCTGGTTAGGCAAAAGTGGTGGTGTATCACCATTCCCCAAGTCAATCCAAACCCTGCCCTTCCTTTCAGCTCCAATTTCCCTCTTGAAGCTTTTCCTGAACCTAATCCAAGTTAAACTTTCACTTCTCCAGAGTAACAGAATCTAAATGGAGTCTAGCACTTGGGATGACCTTTAGCCTCAGTTTCCTTAGGTATGAAATGGGGATGAAGCATCTACTTCACAGGGTTCTTGTGAGCAACCAATGAAATAAATCTTTGCCAACTTTAGAGAGCTATAAAATGGACCAGATTAAATATTTCCTTGGTGTATGGAACTCCTTCTGATAATGCCGATCAGCACAGGCTCTGAAATGGCTCTTCTTAGGGCTTTGTCCAGGGTCACATAGCCTGGATGCACCAGAAATGGGACTGGAATTCAAGACTTTCTTCTCTGAGCCCAGGTCCCTATCTACTAGGTGACACTGCCTCTCTTTATCATCATCATAATCATCAATATTGTTATTATTTATTATTATTATGGGTTCTTGTATTGTTCTAATGAGATATGTCATGTTCTTAAATCTTATCTCCCCAATGACCTATAAACTCAAGAGCAGGGATGTATCATGTGTGGATAGAGTAATGGGCCTGGAGTAAGGAAGGCATGAGTTCAAATCTGGCCTCTGACACTTAGTAGCTGTGTGACTCTAAGCAAGTCACTTGACCACTGTCTGCCTCAGTTTCCTCATCTGTAAAATGGGGATAATAATAGTACCTACTTCTCAGGGTTGTTGTGAAGATCAAATGAGAAAATAATTGTAAAGCACTCTGCATCATGCCTGGCACATAGTGATCGCTACATAAATGTTAGCTATCATCACCATCATCATCACCATCATCACCATCACCATCATCATCACCATCATCACCATCATCATCATCATCATCACCATCATCATCACCATCATCACCATCATCATCACCATCATCATCATCATCATCACCATCATCATCATCATCATTATCGCCATCACCATCATCATTATTATTATATTTTTTCCCCTAGATTCCAACATGGAAGATAGAAAGACATGGCTACTAGTCCAAGCTTTGCCATGGACTAGAGTCATGACTTAAGAGCTGGAGGGATCCTGACAAGTCACCTCATCTTAGAATCTCTGTCACAGTTGTAAGGGACCTTAGACAAGGCCTATGCCAACTCCCTCATTTTCAAGGCCCAAGAAATCCAAGTGCCTTCAGGTAGTAAGCATCAGAGGCAGGATTTGAACCCAAGTCTTCTGGCTCCAAATCAGGGCTCTTTCTACAATACCATGCTGCCTCTTGCATGACTATGGGCCTCAGTTTCCTCCTCTGTAAAATGAGGAGGTTGGACCAGATGTGCTGTAGGGTCACTTACAGCTGTGACATTCTCAGATTTTGAGCCTTTCGGACCAAAAGACCATCATGCCTTTAGCAGAGAGATTTTTTTTTTCATTCCTCATGAATGCAACCTGGAACATGCAAATAAATATAAGGCATCTTCCCCAGCTATCCCAGAATAATGCTTATAAGAAATGTTTATATAGCATCTTAAGGTTTTCAAAATGCTTTTCACATTATCTCATTTGATTCCCCAACTCTGTAAGATAAGGGCATTTTTTCTTATTTTACAGATGAGGAAACTGAGGCTGGGAGAGGTTAAATGACTTACTTGCCCTGGGTCACATAGCAAGTAAGTATCTGAGGTGGGATCTGAACCCAGATCTTCCTGATGTGGAGTCAGGGGACCTGGATTCGAATCCCACTCTGCCTCTTACTACCTGGGTCATTTTGGACGGGTCATTTTAGCTGGATTGGACTGGATGGTTTCCAAGGTCCCTTCCAGCTCAAAATCTAGGATCTGATGCCTCCATCAGACCCAATAACCCCAAGTCCAGCACTTTACCTGCTAAGTTACACCGACTTCTAATAACTATGAAAGGTGTCCAATGGCAGGGCTGAAAGTAACTCAAAACAGTCTCTTTTTGCCAGGTCCTGGATCCACATAACCCACCACTAGGGGGCACACTGGTAAGCTTCTCAATACTGGCGGGTCCCATGTTGGTGCTGTATCTAACTGTCAAAACTCTCTCTGCTCTGAGGCCCAGTGTCCTCATCAATCAGTCAATCAAGTGTCTATTAAGCACTCACTAGATGCTTAATACTGGGAATACAAGTATCCCCAAAAAAGCCATCTCTGTGCCGAAGGAGCTGACATTCTTAATGGGGGGCAAGGGGGAGACAATCCCATGACTGGGTCACTTACTTGCATCTTCTCCAACATCTCAAAGAATTCCGCAGACTGTAAGACAAAAGAAGGGAGGGGAGAAAAGGGAGAGAGAGACAGAGAGGTCAGTGAAACTGTTTAAGAAAATCTTTTCTCCTCCCCCCAGGAGCAAAGAGCAGCAGATGCTGGACAGAGACGAAATTAATTTGAAACATGAGAAAAGATAATTAGATTTTGTCTTTGCTGAGCTTGAAGACCAAAATATTCTCCTTGAAAAAAAAAAACCAAACACTTGAGGATATTGGCCAGTCCTAAGGCAGAGCTGGGGAGGGGGAGGCTCCCAGGGGGACAGAGCTCTGGGTGGCCAGCTCATTCTGGGCCAACCAGTGATCCCTTTGGGGGCAGATGGCTACAGCAAGGCTCCAGGCTGTCTCAGGGAGCCAAAGCCATTAGTCCAACCTGCTGGGAGAAAGCCTATGTAAAAATACATCCATGACAGCTAGTATGGACAAAAGTTTAGGGTTACAACAGGGCCAGGGGGTTTAGGGGGTGATGTCATGTACTATTTGGGGTCTTATCCATATGGAAAACCCCCAAACCAGCTTCTTCCCTTCTTGAAGGGATGCCAGGGATTGTCCCAGACATCTCTGGTGCTACCTTTGTAACGTCCAGGAGAAAAGGGCAAGGAAATGGGGAAGTAGGGGGCTCTAGGGACAATCAAGCCAGAGGCTTCCCCTCCCATCCAGGTACTGATGTACTCCCTCCCTTAGAAGATGGGCCAAGACAATGAGCTGTTCCTGCAAATCAGAAGCTCAATCATGCAATCAATCAATAAGCATTTATTAAGCACCTACTATGTGCAAAGTGAAGAAGGTGCTTTGACTCAAAGCATGGGCCAAGCCACTGACTAAGCTCTTCCTACAATCATAGGCTCAATCATTTAAAATTAATCAACAAGCACTCATTAAGTACCTACTATGTGTGAGACACTGAGCTGGGGGCTGAGGACAAAAGCAGAAACAGTTCCTGCCCTCCAGAGGTTTACCTTCTACTATGGAGAGAGTGCAGTGGATTCAGGAAGACCTGAGTTCAGCCACTTACTAGCAGTGTGACACCCCCGCTCCCCAAGTCACCTGACCTCAGCCTCAGTTTCTTCACTTGTTAAAAAAAATAGCATCTACCTCACAGGGCTGTGAGGATTAAGTGAGATAACTAGGCTATCTTTGCAAACCATACAAATGCTAGCTAGCTATTCTGGGATCTCCAAGGTCCCTTTCATTCCAGTTCCATGATGCTCTTTGGAAGAGACCCTATCCTTACCCTCAATCCATGCCCATGGAAGGGTGCCTTAGCAAGAAGTCCAGCTCCATCTGGACCATCTCAGATTGGTGCTGAACTCCCCAGTAACTCATAGAATTGTAGAAGTTGAGCTGGAGGGGACCTTCGAGGTCCCTGAGTTAGCCCCTCCCCCAGTTTTACAGATGAGGATGTTGAGGCCCGGATAAGATGAAGTGATTCGCCCCAGGTCTTCCTGAGTCCAAACGCACATTCTCTCCTTAATGGCAGGCTGCCTCTCAAAAGCCACAAAGGCCATGATCTAGAAGCAGATGGCTGAGTCCCCGGTGCCAAAGTTAACAAGGCAGCCTCGGATGGGCCTGCGGCCACTTCTCCGTGACTCAGTTGGCTTTCCAAGCAGCCAGTTACTGTTTTCCCATGAGAACGAGCCTCATTTTCCATTCGGAAGCACAGTGAGAAGCGGGATGGCTTGGGCTGGTAGATTCTGCCACTGGGACCCAGATAAAATCCTAGTCGGTAGAGGCCACATGGGCAGCGCCCAGGGAGACACCCTGGCTAGCCAGCCCGGGTCCAGGACGACAGAGCATAGCTTGAGGCCTCCTTGAGAAGGGAGGAAGAGGTATACCCTCCCCCACTTTTGGCGGCCAGAAAAGCCAGGACACCAGACTGGTTTTCCAAACAGGAACATAACACTGCAACTCTCTGGCTGAGCCGTCTAACTTATTATTAGCAACAGCCACTGCCGCCTGGGAGGGACCCGCTGCCAGCTTTCCTCACTGCAACCGCCACTTTAGCAACTTGACAAGTCAGCCATGAAATAATTGCCCAGAACTCAAGCTTGACATACAAAACCATAGCCTGGGAATCAGCGTTTCTGTTTAACTCCCTCCCCAGCCTTAAGAAATTAGGCCTGTCCTTCTTAAAGGCAAAGCCAACCTCTGGAGGGAAAGCCTGGATTCTAGACTTGGGAGTGACCTTCAAGCTCATGGAATCCTAGCCCCACCCAAGCAACTAAAATGATCATTTCTTTTTTTTTTTAATTTTTAGGCAATTGGGGTTAAGTGACTTGCCCAGGGTCACACAGCTAGTAAGTGTCAAGTGTCTGAGGTCAGATTTGAAGTCAGGTCCTCCTGACTCCAAGGCCAGATTTCTTTCTACTGCGCCACCTAGCTGCCCCTGCCCACTGACGTTCTTCATGGGGGAGCACATTACTCTATCTCAGCTCCCCGCTGAGTCCCCCCCCCCCGGCCTGCTCATCTCATGGTACCACCAAAAGAAAAAAAAAAGGCAGCGTGGCATCTGACTCGGGCTGCCCATGTAGCTGCTCCCACCGCTGAAAGAGAGCACCGGATCTGAAAGCCGGGGAGGCATGATTCCCAGGGGAGGTGAAGGTGAGGGCGGCGAGGCTACTAAGCCAGAACGCTGGCACCATGCACACTGGACTGGACTGGAGCAGGGAGATGATAAGACCAAGGTCATGGGTGCACGCTACACATTCGGATTGATGGAATGGTGAGAACCCTGGAGACTCAAAATTGGAGACTTTGGGTCCAAATCTGGGTCCTGCTGTGGTTGGGGGCACCACTGTGGGGTGGGAGGAGAGACTCAAAGGCAGAAAGAAGGCTAATCTTAGAGCCAGAAGCCCTGGGTTCCAATCCTGGCTCTGCCTTGACTACCTGGGTGACCTCAGGTAAATCATTTCTACCTCAGTTTCCTCATCTGTAGCATAAGAGGGTTGGACTCCATGGTCTCTGAGGTCCCTTTTAGCTTTGAACAGACAATCCTATTTACTACTTGGGTGACCTTGGGCAAGTCAGGCAACCTCTCCAGGTCCTACTTACTACCTGCATGACCTTGTAAAAGTCATTTAACCTACTGGGGACTCCATTTTCCTGTCTATAAAATGAGGGGCGTGGACTAGATCAATCAATCAACTAATAAGCATTTATTAAGCCCCTACTATGTGCCTGCGCTAAGCACTGGGGTTACAAAGACCAAAAAAAAAAGTAACTCTTGCCTTCAAGGAGTTTACATTCTATTGGGAAGACAACCTATAGATATTTGTCTATGCAGAAGAAATATGTCCGGAGTAAATACAAGACAAACCCAAGGCTGTTAGAGAGTGGGCACTGGCCTGTTCTAGAGCCTGGGGTGGGAGATCATGGCAGACACTAGCCATCGCATCCTAAGCAAAGTACTTAGCTCAGCTTTCTCAGTTGTAAGATGGGCATAAGAATATTTGCTCTACCTTCCTCCCACGTGGTTGTAAGAAAAGTGCTTTGCAAACCTCAAAGTACGATAGTAACATGAGTCATCATTAACATCACTCGATGAACATAAGTCGCTCCATTAATCCTGATGAGCCATCCCTTTCCTTGGATGCACTGAGTGAAAACACTTAAGAGAGATTGTGAAGATTTCAGTGGGAGCCATTCTCACTAATGGAAAACCAATTCAAGGTGCATGTCCTTTGGAGGTGGGAGACCGTCGCTAGAGTCATCTTCATGGACAAAAGACAGCCTCTGCTTTTTGCAGTGAAACCCGATGGGGAAAAGGGGGAACAAGGGAACTGTCTTTGGAGCTCCTTCCCCAGCGCTTAGCCTGCTACAGGGCTCGCTGTTCATCGTCTCTTGGAGGTTCCATCCAATCTAACCCAACCCAATGAGTTATTAAGCTCTGTACTGAGTGTGTAGCCCAGCCTTCATGTAGTTTACACTCCATTAGGGGACAAGACAATAGAGAGAGCTTTAATAAGTAATATTCTCAATCAACAAGCATTTATTAAGCACTTACTGAATACCAGGCACTGTGCTGAGCACTAAGGATATGAAGACAAAACTACAATTGGTCCCTACCCTCAAGGAGCTTACATCTGGCTGGGCCCATCTACTCTCTAGGTGTCATATTCATTATTCCTTCCCTCCCCCTCACTCCCCTTATTGCTAGTGCTTTCTTTCCTTAAATTACATCACAGTTATTTTATTATGTGTATACACACACACCGTCTCCTTCAATGGAAAAGGGCAAGGGATTTTCTTATTTTTGCATCTTTAGTGCCTGGTGCAATGCCTGAATGAAGGAATGAATCGGGGGAAAGCATTTATTAAGTGCTTACTGTGTGTAAAGGACTATAATGAGCACTGAAAAGTAAGACAGTCCCAACTCTGAAGGAACTCATATTCTAATGGCAGGAGACAACACATAGGGAGAGTTTCAGCTGCAAGTCAGATGAAAAAGTCCTATGGTCCTTAGGCCAGGCATATAGTAGGTGCTTAATAAGTGCTTACTGATTGTTCTTATCTTCTTTCCCCACTTTGGTCCATCCTGTACACAGCTCCCATCACTGACAGATCTGTCTTCCAAAATATTCCTGTTATCCAGTCACTTGCCTGCTCAAGAATCCACAATGGCTGGGGGTTCCCCTTGGGATGGAGCCATTCTTTTTTAAGTTAATCCCATCCATTAAAAAATCAAACTAGATGAAACAGCTCCATATCCCTGACTGAATCAATCAATCAAATATTTACTGAGCACCTCTGTGCTTGGCAGAGGACCCAACGGTGGTGATAAACTAGACACCTGCAGAGAACAGCCAGGGAACCTGCTGGCCTAGAGTGGAGAGAGTACCTGGCTGGGTGTGACAGAAGGGAGATGAACCCTAGCACTCCCTAGCTGGGGGACCATAGGCAAGTTAATTAACCTCTCTGGGCCTCCATGTGAGAAGAGTAAAACGTATATTGCATGCCTCACCCAGGCTCTGGTGAGAAACAAACTATTAT